CTTCTGCAGAAAAGATTAGTGTATTTGAAGACATAGCAATAGAAACTATTCAAAATGAAACTCAGGGAAAAATAATTTAATGAAATAGCCTCTGTGAGTTATAGGACAACTTCAAGTGACCTAATGTATGTGTAATTACAGTCCCAAAAGGAGTATATTTAGAGGGTGGGGCCAGGGCAGGGGGTGTTTCAGACCAGAAAAATATCTGAAGAAATAAATATCAGAAGAAATAAAGGTGTAAATTTTTTTAAATTTGATTAAACCCACAGATTCAAGAAATTTAAATATGTAAGTAGTAAATGTCAGTGATCTCTGTATCACTAAATCTAGAGAACTTTTTTAAGCTTTACCTTGACTTACCCTAAATCCCTTTTCCCGATGAGATTATTGTTTTTAAAATGTACTTTCTGGTAATGAAGGGTTTCATAGGATTTGGCTATCATGTTATTGCAGAACAGATTATACTGGATTAAAGGATTATGAGTTTCACAAATTGATTTTAATAGGATTTGGTTCTTAATAATGTGGCTGTAACACCCGTATAATAACAGTCAGGCTTATCTCTAAGTCTGTCATGGCTTATTTTGAAACTTTTTTTTCTGCTGATAATAGCTATAACCCTTATGTTTGTGTAGACATGATTATGTATTCTCTCTCATTTCTCAATAATTCTTGCAGGAAATATTTATATTTCATCATGCCAGTTGAATTACTGATGTCATTAAACAAGTATTAGCAAGATTAGTTGCAAATATCCAAGAAATGAGAAGTAAAAGAAATAATTTATTAAAAAATAAATTTTTAACTACTCTAATCATTACTTAAGTGAGAAAATAAGTTGTAGTAAAACCTGAATTCTCACATTAAAGGATTTGGAAAGTAAGTCTTATAAGTACTTAAGAAATTTTCTTAGAAATAAATGCCCAGATGACAGTGAAAATGATGGAGTAAGGACCTTTGGAAATTTACCCTTTCATGAAAACTAGCAAAAATTGTTACAACTTTTCCAGAATTCTAGAAACTAACCAAAGATTTGCCTATTCAAGACAGATGACTTCTGCAAGAAGAGTGAGCTTTGTGTTGTTTAATTTGCTCTAGTTTTATCGCCTACCCTCCCCCTCAGCAGTCAGCCCTGCATTCTTGGTATCAGAGGGAATAGGATAGAACTGGAGCTCTTTAAGATCCTCATTCCCAAGGAATTGTCATTATTTGGCATCTTTGGTGGTTCCCTAAAAGCCACTAATAGAAACAATTGTCTTTTTTTGACCTGGCTTGGAGTATGCTCATCACTAACAGCCTCT